ACACACACACACACTCACGCCTACATCCACATCCATATCTATATCTACACACACACACACACACACACACACACACACACACACACACACACACACACACACACACACGCCTACGCACCCACATCTATATCTACACACACACACATATACATATATATCATTCAATCATGAAACCCGATAAAAAAACGCCGGCTCCAACCCCCACTGAAAGCTTGCATGAACTTCAACGAAATGGCTTGCCGATATCCCCCTGACTGAGCAGGCAGCAGCGCAGACCAATTCGAGACGAAGCACCAAGGTCAGGTGAGCTGGGTCGACCACAAGATCTGACCTGCCCCCCCCCCTTCCACCCACCCCTTTTTTTTATCACATCTAAGTTTAGACTGATTAACTTACATTACCGGGAAAAGGTGTTACAAAAAAAAATATATATATATGTCAAGAAATCAGGAAATCAGCGTCAGCCTAAAAAGGACCCTTACTGAAAATCAGAAAAAATGTACACTTACCTAGAGCCCATGAGAGCCACCAGACTACCAGGACGAACGGCTCCTGACACTGAAAATTGATTTTTTTTTTATTAGTTTCAGTCACAAGTTAACGGGATGTGTGAACTCTTTTAGGATTTCACTTATTGGTAAATGTAAAGATGAGAGTAAAGGTGTATAATAAGAGAGAGAAAGAGGATATCTTAACTAACTAATCCACCTTAGAATAACTCAAATAACTTGTTTCGTTTACTTTTGAAGACTGAAATGACTATTGCCTGGACCTCGTTTCATAATAATTCTAAATGCTTAAGAGAAAATGCGAATCAAAGTATCTCGAGGCCGGGTGAAATAGTTTTAGAATATACCCTTACTCTCACTCTCTTCCCCCTCTCCTCTCCTCTCCTCTCTCCTTCTCTTCTCTCCTCTCTCCTTCTCTTCTCTCCTCTCTCCTTCTCTTCTCTCCTCTCCCTCTTTCCCTCTTCCACCCCTCTCTCTCCCTCTCTCTCCCTCTCTAATTCAGACAACCCACATATACCCAGCGGGACGGCTAATAAACCTGTCGCCTACTTGGTATTTTCTGGATAATGAAAATACCCCAAAGTGACGTTTCCCAGCAGGGTGCCGTACCTCCTGGCGTGTTAAGGGCCTGTACTGATAGTCAGGAATTGGAACCATTGTCATTCTAATGTTTTTGTCTATTTATCCACGTGCTAATGGTATTCTGATTAGCCTTTTAAAAATGTGGAATTCTTGGGTAGAAAAAAAATAATGGTCTTTCATACTTCGAAAGATTTAGCTGAATATGATGGCGAGGTTTGGAAAAAGGAATGTTGAAACGGAACATGCGCACCTAGACGCGTGAAACTCGTATTTCCAAGGATCTGAATGGTGTTTTAAGCACATTTACGAAACTGAATTCACTCGCCATCAAGGTGCCCCCTATAAACTGCAATCACGACTCTTTAACCACCGACGACTCCACGACCTGCTTGTATTATTAGCCCACTCAACGACCCAAACACACGCTCACTCCCTCCTTCAACACTTACCATTGTTGAGCACTCGCTTGAAGGGCCGATGTCCCGCGTCGTTTCGGAACCAGCTCCTCTTCTGCGGTACGTACACGCTTAGGTCCCTCCATGTGAGTGTAATGCCATCGTCGGGTGCCCTCCAGGTGCCATACCCGAGGCCCGACTGCTTCACGAGGCCCGAGGAGTCCGCAGCCTCTTCCTGACGAGGTGGAAGACATGGGGTAAGGGGTACGAGGAAGACTGGTTGGGAGAGCTGGTCAGGTTGATCACAGAAAAGGGGAGATTTTACGGGATATATATATATATATATATATATATATATATATATATATATATATATATATATTAGTATGGAAAATGCAGTAAAATACATGGGGTGTGGCTGAATTCTACATTTCTACTATGTGGAATTATTATTTTTTTGTGCTGGAAACTTCTAATGAAAGGCAGTATCTAATTTGCACACTGAATACCTATTCTTGCCTTGTGGAATAATCAACTTGTCAAAAATATTTTTTGTTCAAAATGTCAACACAAGTGTATATCAGTAAGGCACAATAAGGTATTATAGATGGCTATACCTTTATATACATTATCATTCCAGCAATTCGCTATTACAATAGTCTTTTACACTACACTTACAAAGCATTCCTAATAATTCAACATCAAACGAGTTAGTTCAATCACCGGGCCGACTAACTCGCTTCATTCACGACGCCGTCAGTACAACAGACGAAACACCTGAATAAGGATGCCACGAGATGAAACTGGGCGAGGGGAAAGGACCGCAGTGCTTCTCCGGGGCATCTAAAGGAAACGAACCTGTTCCTGACGTCCTGATAGAAGGCACTCACCTCATCGAAGAAATCCCCGGAGTAGGTGTCAGAGCCGGACGATTGGTACACGTACTGTTGAGAGCCCAGGAGGGAGGCCCTCTCCTCCTGCTCCAGCCCCATCACCGGCAGGTTCCTGTAGAAG